TATAGGAAGCTTATCAAGTACAAATAACTACCCTGGATCATGACTTAATGTAATACCCAAGATTGGGTCTGGATTACTCACCATCATCACCTCTAGTCTCTTAAGGCTATCTTGTTTTGGTGGTGAGGGTTCAATACTGCCCTTGTTGGCAGAAAAACTACTTGTCGTGCTTGTACCTATAAACTCAATTTTTGTAGCTGAATAGACCCAACAAAATCAATTTTTGCATCATAAAAACTACATAAATACAATCCAAAATTAAAATTCATAAACAATAGCAACAACAATATATAGCTTATACCTCAAGCACATCGCGGGTACACTTCTCAGACACCTTCTTCTCATTCATCCTCTCTCACTCCTCTTGCTCCTTATGGACACTCTCATGCACCGTCTGCAACAACCTCTCCCTCTTATCCTCCAAGAATTTATCCAACATTGTCTGCAACAACCTCTCCCTCTCCTCCTCCAAGATTATATCATGCCCCTCCTCCCACTTCTCCCTTTCCTTCCCCAACTCAACAACAATAATATCTTGAACCTCTCTCTTAATGATTTTCTCTCTAGATGATTTAGAGTGTTCTAAATGTACTTTAAAGTCAATGTATCCACCAAGACCACAGACACACCCATGATGCTCTTCGGTTCCAATCGCTTATACTAATATGTCGTGACGATCTTGTGAAGTGAAGAGGTTAGCTTTGGTTTGTTCAAGCAGATCATCCTAGAAACACATATGAAATTTCACCTTTACCAAATTGTTTTAAATAAAATAAATATTGTTGAAAAAAGTATATACTTACAATCCTTTGAGTTATTTCGCGTGTAGCATCTGATGTGAACTCGCCGTATTTTCTTTGATGTGCCCTCTTCTATTTCTCGTGGCGGGATGGTGGAGATGAAGAGCGATCAAGACTTATACAACCTCCCAACTCTTTCTCCCTTTGTTTTCTTTTTTCTTCAATCAATTTTTTTTCAAGTCTTTGATATCCTCCACGAGACAACCTATGTGGATAGATATTTCTAGCTCGGTTTTCCTTTCTTGTTTGGCTCTTTACCAAGAATGCAGAAGTGGTGTGAGACTCTACAAACTTCTCCCAAACATCTTGATCAATAAATTAATACACCTCGTATGGAGTCTTTTCTTTATCTTCTCCATGTTTAATATAATCATGGGTGAGCTGTGTTTTAAATCCCCTCCAACGCTCATCATAATATGCAAGCATTGTGTTTCTCACATACTTATCATCTGAACTAACATTGAACACTTCCTATGTTTACATAATGGAGATGTTATTAGTATTAAACAAAAAAACTCACTTTACGCAATGCATAAAATTCAAAATAATATTGCGATATCGATTCATATGTCGTCTTTCAAATCATCATCAATGTCATGCCATTTATCTATTAAAATACACACTCTACTTATTGCTGGTAACACAATGTAACCCAATAAATAATTAGCATGTTCACCAAAAAACCCCACTGATTTCTACATCAACTCTAGCCAGGTATCGAACACCAGTTTCGTGGGCCTTTTTCACCTTTGTATACATTATGACACCTCTAGTTTTTCTTTTACATTTTGTATTAATAGAGGTTGCAGTAGATGTTGTATGAGAGATACTTATTAAATCGATCATGAGTATCAAGAGACTAACTTGAATCAAACAGTAATGTTTATGTAACCCTAAAAAATGGTTAAGAGAAAAACTAATGTAAAAACCTTAAATGAAATTATCAAGAGACAAATTGAAATAAAAACATTTGATCAACAAATATGTTGCAAAAATGACGTTTGATGAAAAATCTGTTGGAAGAGTTTTGATGAAAATCGCCTAGGGTTTTTGTGAAAAGAGAGTGACGAAATGGCGTTTGAGTGTTGATAGGAAAATGAAAAGTTAGAAACTAGATTGTAGTAGTCTAAAGTATTTCATGCAAATTAAGTGTCATGTCGAGTTTGCACAAAAATCGACGTGATAGTATTAATGAAAAATATAAAAATATAAATAATCAAACTAGCGCCATATTCTAGGAATTCATTTAAAAGATTTATTACATCAGTTTTTGTAAATCACCGAGGGAATAAATTATACAAATGAAAAATTAAAATAAGATTTTTGAAAATAGTATTTTGAAATTGTTAAAGCAAAATATATTCCTTCTCAGTTGGACCATGTAGCCGAGGTAAATACTAATAAAAATATAAAAAAAATTAACAAAGATTTAAATGGAATTTGAAAATGCGCCAAGTGAGAGATGCTTGTTGAAAATTTGAAAAAAAAACATAAAATACTGTCACTGGGTATCGAAGCGAGCTCCCTTATAACTATGTTCCCTCGGTTTTCTAATAAATCGAGGGGAAAAGTTGTTTATTTTAAAAATAAAAAACAAAAAATAAAACATGGCGTTCTCAGGACCTATACCCTCGATCTTCTATTGTCCGAGGTGTAAGTTTCGTCATAAAAAGCATCTTTTATTGTAGTGACATGACACTATATCAAGATTGGATAAGACATTGATTGAGTGCATGCATGTAACTATGGAAAACCACAAATGCATATATGATGCAATAAAAAATATGATTGTGCAAATTATTCATTTAGTCAAGGATCTATTTGATCTACTAATCAATAACAACACTCAGACTAACTCAAATAAACAATACAAAGTGAGTGAAAATGGAAATGATGAAAAGAAGGAAAAAATTGTTATTGAAACAAAAAAAGGAAAAAAGTTAAAAAGAAGTTGAAGAAAAGAGTTAGAGAAAGATTTAATTGAAAAGTCAGAAACAAACGACCAAAGACGGGGGAGGAAAAATTGAAAAATTCACTAGTTCAAAATCAGCTTTATCCACACAGTCCAACCAAGAACAAAAAGAATTACAAAGGTTTGTAGATATTCTCAAAATACTATAGAGAAAGACACCATTCTATAATGCCTTGGAGCAACTTCCTTCCTAATTCGAATTCATGAGAAGAATAGGAGGAAGAAGGAAGCCTAACACATGTGTCGAACTAATGAAGTTAAACAAGTGCTTATTGGGAGGTAACCCAACATTTTAGATGTAGATTTTCCTTTAAATAATTTATATTTATCTAAATTAAGTAAAAAGAGCATGTTTTAAGATTCTACAGGACTTTCGTTAAACAAGATCATTTACTTGCTAAGCGAAAACTTCACTGACATTTCATTTTATGAGTTTATGCAGGTTTGTCCTATAAAATTTTATTGCCACTAAGCGAAAATTCCAGGTTCGAGATGCAGATTTTTTATTCAAATCCCCAGTTTCACATGATGAAAGCTTGAGGATAGGCTAAATTTTTCTAGAGGAAATGGATGTTGCGACTAAAGCTCGCCAAAACCTGTCAAATTTTCTTTGCTATTTATTTTACATAAACATGATCAAGATTAAAATACATAATACATTTTTCTGAAGTTTTTTACCACTGATGGTTCAAATGATTTGAAAAAGTCAAGTGCAAATAAATATAGGGGTGGTAAAATGGATCCGGCCTGTTGGGCATGCTCGTTTTGATAGTACTTTTCCACGGGGCGCCCAAGGTTTTAGGCTCGCAACCTTAATATGTTTGTCCCTCCCTGCCCCTTTTTTTGAAGGTTTTTGCGGACACAGACATTTACATAAAACTTTACATTTTTAGGCCTAAAAGGTACAAAGTCCGCAGGCATTTCCCGCCCCGTCCTTACTTTTTTGCTGGGCACTCCAAAGTTTTAGACCCGCACCTTCAACTATGTGTTGTAACCGGCAAAAATACGAGAGTCGTCAACACTACTTTTTGTCCTAAGGACGGGAAAGGAATGGAAAACACTAACTTTTCAGAGATTTATAGGTTCGCGAGTTGATTAGATAAAGGGAAGGTATTATGCACCCTTAATCTCCCTTGTACTCAAGGGGGCCCTCTTTAACTTTAGGACTTATGGGGAATATTTTCTATTTAATCAATTGCTAAATAATAACAAAAAAGGAAAAGGTTTAGTTTTAAGTTAGCGGACTCGCCTTAATTTTTGAATTGTGTATCTACGTATCCTCTTGCGAAGAATCAGAGTCCTTCGTAGTCGAAGTGTTTGGTTAGTTTTTTTCATATGATTGTGTATAATTGCTCTCGAATGATTTTTGAACTTTGTTTGGATTTGAGAATTGAGTGATGGTAGACGCAGTTTGAATTTGACTTGAAAGCAATTTTGATCATCATTTATTGAAAATATCTTGAGTTTGATTATGTTAGTAGAGAAAAGGTTTTTTGTTGGTTAGTTGTTTTAAGTTTGATTTGGTTGATTGAAGAAGAGTTGATCTTTATTGTAATTAAATCGCGCTAGGCAAAGTAATTGATTTGATTGGTTGATGAGTTTTAATTGTTTTAATTTGAATCATTGATTGATAAGACATTAAGTCAACCAAATGATTATTCGAGGATACGGTGGATGTAAAACCCACCTATCTTATTATTTATAAAAAATGTTGAAATTAATTTTATTGAGAAAAATATTTAAATTTATGTACAAGTGAGTGATAAAACTTAATTAGAGATAACACTTTTTATTTTGCATTTTTCTTGATTAGTTAAACTGATTAACATAACTAACACTAATTAGATTACTTCAAATTAATCAGATTAATTAAATTTAATTAATCTAATAAATTTAACCTGATTAATTGAAACCAAGAAAGTGCATAAGTGGAGTGCAGGGTATAGTTTTAGTATAAAAAAAAAAAAAGAAACACAAGCCCCCAATCAAACAACCCTATTTACCGTCCCATGTTGTTTCAATAATCAGAGAAAAAACTAAAATTAAAACAAATAGAACTCAGGTTTGACTTTTCATAATATCTAGATCACCCAATCCTAAAGCGACGTGCGTCATTCATTAATAAAATTAAAATGCAAAATGGCATGATAAAATAACAACAAATTTATTCACCCTCTCTTCATAATGTTTCACTGTATTCCTTTCTCCACTTTCTTCCATAAACCACCATGGCTAACAGGAATTCAAAGTATTTCAAACAAGTGAAGCACCAACGACGAAATAAAGAGAAGAGGAAACCTGGTAGTGACGAACCGGAGGGTGCGGAGTGGAGATCTCGTCGGACCTGTGACGTGTGCGTACAGCGGCGACATCAAGCAAGGGAGCGTCGGTGATTGCGGGTTCTGGGGCGGAGGAGGGCTGTTCGGAGTGGCGGTTGGCGGTGGTGCGAACGGCAACTGGGCGGAGGCGCGGCGAAGGATCGCGTGAGCTGGTCGGAGTGGCTTCTACTGGAGCTTTCGGTTTTGGTTCGACAGCTTTTCTTCTTCTCTATTGTTTAAATACTTGTTGATGAACCTTCTTCCTCTTGATGGTGTTTGTGAGATTGTTCTGTGAGTTTTGAATCGGTTTGTGGTGTTGTAGTGAGTTTCCGGTTTCGTCGGTGTTGGTCTGTAGATGACAGCGGGTGGAAGTTACGGTTGCAACTTGGTTGAAGATGGCGGACGTGGCTCGATTCGCGGTTGTCGGGTGGAGCTGTTGCGTGACGGCAGTTTCGATCAGAGACGCGAAGACGTTGTTGTGTTGTTCTGAGTTTGCAGGTGCTTTTTTGAAAAATTTGTGAAATTTTTGGATGGAAGGTTTGATATTGTTGTTATAACATGTGGAACAAAGAAGTCTCAATTTGTTATTTTCAATATGTCGGAAGAAGATGTTCTAACTTGGAGATAGGATATTGTGTCTGTATCGGTCGTTAGTAACATCTCAGCTGATTTATTAATTATTGAATATCTGAGAAATATTCAGTTAGCTGATGTCGCATTCAAGATTGACAACTCAGGTTATTTTATGTTGGTTTTTGAAGATTTGCATAGTTTCAGTAGACTACTATTGCGTTTCTAGGGAATTTGTTGTAATTCATCCCAGGAACATACCACCTACATAGAAAAAATGGGTAATAAATTAATACACCGCATGATTATGTATATAATATGTAAAATTTATGGTTTTGTAATCTTACTTTGTAGCAAAGAGGAAGACGAATGGCCTTGTGTTGCGGGGGGCGAGTGTCGGCATTCTCGACCAGCACTGTGTCTGGAGCAAAAAGGCGCAAGAATAGAAAGAACAATTATCGTTCGATGCATTTTTACACAAGGAACTATACAGATGGGCCAAAACAGCAGAACCCCAGCTATATGTGTTTATTTTATCAAATTGTCTTAACAAGGGTAAATACATGATATTAACAGTATTACCCGTTGTTTTAGGAAATAAAAAATGCCCAAATAATATCATTATGTAACACCGAACTTTCACAATTTTTTCTTGCTCGGTAGAGTTTTCAGTTATTACGAGACTACTATGATATTCTCTAAGAAGACGGAGATTAATACCTTGGCCTCTAGATCCTTGTTCAAATAAAGAGACTCCCAAAAGTTCCTCGCATATGGCGTTGTCTTGGTTGACTCGGTCATTGATAGCCTTACCATCGATCGATAGACCGAATAACATGTACACATCCTCTAGTGTGACTGTACATTCACCACATGGAATATGAAAGGTGTGAGTTTCAGGTCTCCATCTCTCCACTGATGCGAGAATAATTTTATAGTCAACATGGTAATTGACTATATTGAGTAACGGACCAAAACTGGCATATCGTAAGTACGGTTCAATTTGGACGTCGTAAGGGACATACTCATGGACACAACAACGAAATCTTTTAACATCCTATTAAAAACATGAATTACGTATAAGAAATACAAGATTTACGTATAACAATCATAAGAATTAAGGGGAAAAAAATTGACGACAAAAAATAGGTATTGAGGAAAAAACACTTACAAAGGTTTCAATGTTGTTCGGAGTTCCTCTATGTTGATCACCCATGGTCAAGAGAGACATTTTTTCTTGATTACTCTTGTGTTGTTGTTGATACTTCAAGAAAGAAATAGTGTGTGAGTTATGATTGTGATGAACATATAGGGTGAACGTTACATGTATTTATAGGAAAATCTTGAAGAACACTTTGCATGCAAGAGATACACATAGGCGCCACACTAGGTGGCGCATGCTCTTCCTTAATACACATAGGCAGAACACTAGGTGGCGCATGCACTCTATGATACACATAGGCGCCATTCAACATGGCTTGTTTCTTTTTGCATGCATCCAAACCTGCAGCATGGTAGGGATCAGATGGCATGCATGTAATTTTGTTGTTCAATGACAAGCCACCCTCATTGGCGTATGCATGTAAAAAGAGGAGGATAATCCACCCTAGGTGGTGAATGCATGCAAAAAGAGGAGGATAAGTCACCCTAGGTGGTGCATGCATGCAGAATATAAAGTACATCTCATATTTTCATCAGTTTATTTAATCGTCTGTGTAGGGTGCATTACTAGTATATATCCATAACTCACAAAAAAACATACCTCAACAACATGGATCATTTACAAAATTATACTATTGTTGCCCCTATTAACGGTGAGACGTTCAACTGGATAGCTTAGGTTTTAATTTCCGTAATACCGATTTTATCCGCTTTCGAATAAACAAGAAATCAAGTTTTGCACGCTTCAAAGATAGACTAGAAGCCAAATTGCAGTGTGGTCCAGTTTACCAAATTCTTTACAAGTCCCCATTTCTGTTTGACAACAACCAAGTCAGGTTTTTATCAACTTAAGGTGCACGACAATGATGATGTTCGAAACATGTTTCGAACTGATGAACAATCCGGGTTCGATGAGATTGAGTTATATGTTTTATTACAGCAACCAAATCAATCTCCAGATTTTAAAGAAGAGGATGAATCTGACGAGGATAATCATCTCGAAGTCGATGTTATTGAACAAGAAGAAGAAGAAGATGAGGCAATGATTGATTTTATGGTCAATGATGACGCTCCAGATCAAAAATTATAAATAAAAACTCTAGTCAACAAAGTTGAGTGAACACAATAAATAAACAAAAATGTAAAAATGAGTTTTATATATATATATATATATATATATATATATATATATATATATATATATATATATATATATATATATATATATATATATATATGTGATTTTAAAAACTACAACCATAAAAAATTCTCATTATTTGGTTTAAACATCAGACGAATTAAAAATGGATGAAACTGAAAAATAAAAGAGAGACCTCGTATAAAATTCATTGGCCAAATATAAAATACCAATATTTTTGAAAATAAATCGTGAGGAGAAAGTGCAAAAGTAAGTGTGAATGACGTGTGTAAGAGATTGTAAAAATTGTCAATCTAAAAGTGTGAAAAAGTGAGTGAAAATTATAGAATTTATGTGTATTTGTCTGTTCAAGACAAAAATAGGGTTAAGTGTCTATTTAAGACAAAATACTAAAATTAACCAACAAAAGAAATTGCATAAAAAATACCTGTGTAAGAAAGATGGAGAATTGTTGATGAGAAATTATGGTGGAGAGAGCCCTATTTATAGATGGGAAATTAGGTTGAAAAATGTTAAAATATGGAACAATGAGATTCGAACTTGTGACCTTATACTTGCAAGATTTGTTTCCCTATAAATTGTGTTATGCCATTTATTTAAAATAAAAAGTCAATTGAAAGTATATGAAGGTCCAGCAAATATTTATTATTTAAAAAATATAAATAATTTAAAGTAAACTATCCTATATTTTTTTAAATAAGCAAAGTAAATTACTGTTAAAATGTTAGTAAAACAAACCCATAATTTTATAAAGCTCAAGTTAAAAATAATTTGATTGTTAGAAATTGCGGACAAATTTGGGATATGACAATATGCCAGTTCCACTCCATTTTTTGTGGGTTTTTATGGGGCGGGCTTAAGCGGGACGAGCATGCCCGTTTGTCATCCCTAAATAAATCAAAGCTTAGGACAAAAGCAAAATCAAGAATGAAGGCTTGATAAAATGTAATAATTTTTCAGAAGCTTCATTCATGATTAATATTGTGAATATCTTTAAATTAATAGCATGATCATAAATTAGTCGTTTAATTCAAAAGTTTGAATTTACTATTTGTTTAATGACAACATGTCAATGTAAGTCAAGAATCATAAATCTAAATCAAGTGAGATAAGTACATACCTTGTGTTTTACATAAATGAATGAGAGTAGATATGTATTCTAACTATGATAAATTTGCAGCATCATTGCTATTACTCGATATGTTTGAAAGTTGTGAAATTGATCAAGGCATTGTTTGTATATTGAGTGAAAAATTACTTGGGCAAAAAGTCTATATTATGAGGGTGTGAGATTCTTTGACAACCCCTTTGAACTTAAAATAAAAATTTGTTATTTCAATGTTACAACCCTTAGAAAATTTGAAGGAAAAACATTGTTCACCACCTTGTCTTAAGGATAAGGGAACACTAAAAAGTTGTAAGAGTATTTCAAAAAAAAAGTTAGGAAAAAAATAAAATGAGTGAAAATAAAAATCAAATAGTAACGGTGAAAAGAAAAAAAAGAAAAAAAAAATATAGTTTTAACAAAAATTGAAAAATCAAAGGTCAAAATATACAAAACAAAATCACCTAAATAAAGTGTTGTAAAGTGGAAAGAAAAGAAAAGAGATAATTTCAAAAAAAATAAAATAAATAATATACCTAAGTAGACTTTACTCTCTTATCTTTAGGATTTTGAATCTAAAAAAAAAACTAATTTGTTTTTAAATCCCAGTCGCGTTACAACCAAAAGAAAGACCTTAATGATTCATGACTAATTATGTATCATGTAATATTGCTTATATGAAGTACAATATTTCTATAGTTGATGCATGATTTAATAATTGAGGGATACACTAACTCATTTGAGTGATACACATGTGAGATAATGATTCTGATGAATAATTGATTGTTGATCTGGACATATTTGAAATCATACATTGGTCAAACAAATAGTTCATCTTCATGCTATGAACTTGCATTTGAATAAAAATCATGTCATACTTCAAAGTGATTTCAAAAATTTCTTGATAATATCTTGAAACCTTTCATGAATACTAAATAATGAAATGTTCTGAACCATTGTTATTGATTTTGTTTGATGACAAAAAAAAAGTTGGAGAGAGTTGATAAATGCCAAAAATACATAAAACACATAGGCACTTATTGACTTATTTTATAAGTAATCAATGAAAAAATTCCCCAATTTATCAAGAAAATATGATAAAATGTTTGTATGAACTTTTTAACTATATATTTATTGGATTTTTTTTTCAAATAACCACTTTTTCAAAAATTTTACCAAAATGACCACTTTTCAAACAAAAAAAATTCGCCACACAGAGGAGTAGCCACTCTGTGTGGCGCTTGCATTCATTTTTAAGAGGAGGCGCCATACTATATGGCTTGTCCTCCTTTGTAAAGCCATGCAGTATGACGCATGCATATATTCTAGAGAGGAGGCGCCACCCTCATTGGCTTGACAGTGTTATTGCAATTTTTTTAAAATAAAATAAAAGTAACT